AAGGACTGGTGCTACAACTGACAAGCTATGTGACCTTGAGCAAGTTAATTAACTTCTCTCTACCTTAGATTTTCCTCTTCCATACAAGGTGGCTAGTAATATTATCTACCACATAGGGTTGTTGCAAAGATTAAATGTAATGGTAACTGCAATGTACTTGGCACATGGTATCGCCCAAGAAATGTTAGTCATTATTAATTCAAATGAGATTACTCTTTTAAATTTTTGGTTTCTACTATCTATCTCATATACAATGAGTCTACATACCTCCGCTTCCAACACACAACTACCCTTTCCAAACAGTTAGAGGTTCTAGTTGCCTAATACACACAGGTAGTCAATTTAAAATCTAAAATATTTGAGAGTTAAAGAGGGCTTGGACTTCTAATCCTGTGGTTTTCAACATTCACTGCACATTGGACTCCCCCGGGGAGCCCTTAACAACTCAATGCCCAGGTGCACCCCAGCCTGATTAAATCAGAAGCAGGCATCAGTAAAACTTTCCAGGGATCCCACTGATCCTAGTGTGTGATCAAGGTTGAGAATCACTGTGTTGGTCCAGTCTTCCTGGTTTAAAGTGAGGCAACTGCGGCTCAGAGAGGAAAAGGATGTCACCGAGGGTCACCCAGCCAGAGCCAGGACCAAGACCCCTGTCCACTGTCACCTGATGGGTACCCCCCCACCCCTGGTGCCATGGATTCCAGACCATGCTGTGGTCTGGGGATGATCTGGCCCCAAGTCAGCCCTCTCACAGAGTAGCTGCACATTAGACTCCATCCCAACTCAGGGCAGGAGGTGATGATTAGCTCTGTGTTTGGAAGAGTATGACCGACTCAGGGTTCTTGTGTTGTCTTGAAGGATCACCAAACCAAGACCCAGTTTTCTCTTAGAAGGCTAGTGATCTTAGTGACTCCAGAGACCCTGAGTCGTCAAGTTTCTCAAGAGAAGCAGTGGGTGGGCTAAAAGGAGCTCAGGACTGAAGATGGAGAAGCCGAGAGCCCAGCCCTGCTCTGTATCTAACTGGTTTGGGGCTTTGGATCAGTCACCCACTCAGACTTTCTGGGCCTCCGAGAAAATGTGTCTTTTTATTTTTTTTCACTTTTTATTTTGCATTGGACTAGAGCTGATAAATATTGTTTAGTTGATAGTTTCAGGTGGGCAGCAAAGGGACTCAGACATAGGTATACATGTGTCCATTCTCCCCCAGACTCTCCTCCCATCCAGGCTGCCTCATCATGCTGAGAGAGTTGTTGTGCTATATGGTAGGGCCTTGTTGGTTATCCATTTTAAATACAGCAGTGTGTACATGTCGATGATATGAATGAACTTATTTACAAAACAGAAACATTCACAGAGAACGAATTTATGGGTGTGGGGGGTCAGGGATGGGGTGGGGGAAGGGATAGTTAGAAAATAAGTGTCTCTAGGTGAGTCTATAGCCCTTTGTTTCAGCAGCTGCTGCCACCAGCCTTGAGTCCTTTAGGGATGGGAGTGACGGGTTTGCACAATAGGTTTGTCCCAGGGTCTCAGCTGGCCTCATCTGTAAAATGGAGACAATGATAAGGGCTGGCCTTACATAGCCACCTCAGAGCGTTATTGCAAGGAGCCTGAAGGATCTAAAGGAATTCCAAAAAGTAAAAAGCAGGTTACATGGAAGCCCTAGGGCAGGCTACCCCACCCCCACCTTAAGAGAAGACACACACATTAGAAGCCAAAATTTACTTTCTAAATGTTCCTTTCCTTTTCCCCTCCTGAGTTCTCAGTTTCCAGGCCCTATTGGGAATTCAGGGGGAAGTTAGGGGGGCTGTGATCATGGTACCTCTGGGTAGAGAGCTGCTCCCAGGTGGCCTTAAGCCAGGTGTCCCTGTATGAACCCTTTGCAGGGCATGCCGGGCCCCAGGGAGGGTCAGAATGGACCTGGGCCGGGCAGGGGCAGGTGGGGATGAGAGCCCTAGATCGGCCGCTTCCTTCTGCAAGGAAGTCAGGCTCTTCCTCTGCAAAACGTCTGGCTGGCAGTGATGGTTTCTCTGGGGCCCTGGCAGGAAGCAGTCTTGCTTCCCAAGGTAAAGACAAGTTTCTTGTCACAGCTGGTTGTTTTCTAGTTAGAGGCCATGGTGGTTTTGAACGCTGTCCTAGAGCTCTGGGATCTCCCAGGGGGCAGGCAGAGGGAGAGGACAAAGCCGGAGCTCAGCAGGGCTGGAGCTCAGCAGGGCTGGCTTAGGGAGGAAGAGCCCGCTGTCACTTCCCGAAAGCCGGCCAGTCTCTGGGTGGAGAGAAGGTCAGAGCGGTCGGTCCCTGTGGCCCGCCTACCCCGCCCCTCCCTGCTGCCTCGGGGTTTGCCCAGGCTCTTCGGAGCACAGAACTTACAGTAAATGTTGTCACCAGTGGAAACTCTCAGAGGGGGCGAGGAAAAAGGCTAGAGGAAGGGGCCAGGACTCCCGGCCCCCAGTTCCCGTCTTGCCAACACCCCCCAGTCTCATGTGTTGCTTTATCTTACCTTTTGGTAAAGAGAGGGGATGCCCTCTCTCTGGGATGTGCCCGGAAACAACCGAATGGTGAGATGAATGAGCTGGTCACACCTTGCAGAAGCAGCAGCCAGTGCCCCTGTCTTTACCATCGTGGCTCTTGGTATCCCAACTCCCCACCCTGTTTTAGAGATAGGGTTTTCCTTTGTATTGACCTGGACACATTTTCTAGCCCCGGGCCACACACAGGAAATGCTGGGCTGAGGTTGAGCACGCGAGCGTCTGTCCTGTACAAACCGACGGAAGCTGCCTTGATGGATAAGGCCACGTTCTCCTTACCACTTCAAAAGAACTCCCATTTGCAGGGGTTAGGGCAGTCGGCAGTGTAACTAACTCTCTCATTAACCTGAAGCTGGTTTCCTAAAGCAAATTTTAAATGTCAAGTTATCACACATCTGCTCACTGCCTACTGTAATTCTGAGTCAACTTCTGATCCATCAGTCGATGTCATCAGGCGGCTAATCAACAAGCACTTGAGTTCATACTCCATGCCAGGCACTTAATAAGTGCTTGGATAGTTAGAACACATTTATTATCACATTTAACAATACTAGCTATTGTTTTCAAACTTGTCTGGTGATTAGAATAATCTGGGGCACTTGTTAAAAATTCAGATTCCCAGAATTCAAATCCCAAATCCCAAACTCACTGAGTTCAAACCTCTAGATTTCAGGAAGTGCCTGGAACTATATTTTTACCAGGCCCTCAGATTAGTTCTAATGTCACGGCAAGCTTGGAAAACACTAACCTAAGCGAAACAGAACAGGAAAAATAAGACCTGGAATCCAAATATTAGGTCACTTTTTGAACAGAAATGTAATTTATTTGCATCTCCAGTGCCATTTTTCCTTTCTCTGTGGGTACCAATGATTAGTAAAGATGGTCTATCTGAGTCAAGGAATGTGAACATTAAAATCACGTTGGAAGTGCAATTCCCCTGGTTTTCTGAAGGTGGGATTGTTTTCCAGTATATGCTAGCTGAAAGTGAAGTCAATCAGTCGTGTCCAACTCTTTGCACCCCCCGTGGACTGTAGCCTACTAGGCTGCTCCGTCCATGGGATTCTCCAGGCAAGAATACTGGAGTGGATTGCCATTTCCTTCTCCAGGGGATCTTCCCGACCCAGGGATCAAACCCGGGTCTCCCACATTGGAGGCAGACGCTTTAACCTCTGAGCCACCAGGGGAGCCAAATGCTAATTACCAGGGTGTAATTGTTGATTAATTAATGATGTGATTGGTAATCATCCCTCTTTACCCTGAGTCTTTCTTTTTAAAATTTCTTTGGCTGCACTGAGTCTTTATTTCAGCACATGTGGGCTTCTCTCTAGTTGCAGTGCACAGGCTTCTCTGGTTGTGGCAAGCAGACTTAGGGATTCTGCAGCATCTTAGTTTTCCAACCAGTGATTGAATTTACATCCCCTGTATTGGAAGGCGGATTCTTAACCACTGGATCACCAGGGATGTCCTGAGTTTTCCTGATTAGCATGTATCTGATGGTTCCCTGAAGCAAGGGGTAAAGGTGTTTCTGGAAAGAAAAAAGAAAGCACAGGTGCTGGGCCACACCCAGAGTTCTACATGACAAGCTGCTGGGAGACAGCATTCTCCTGGAGTTTGACCATTTATCACTTAGAAGACCCCAAACGTTCTAGAATTTGGGTGAAGTAGACAATTAACCAAGGACTCCATTCATAAGACTAAATGCAAATGCTGGGAATGTTAGGCGAACACACCAGTGTAATAGAGCAGAAAATAGTAAAATTAGTATAAGTCAGTCTCACAAACTCTTTTCTACTTTTCCAGCTCTGGCTGGTCATGCACTGGCCTGGACATGCACTTGCCACTCTCAACTCTCATATACACTTATGGAGACCTATGCATGTACCTGCATGCAAAGGAGCACACTCATGCAATTCACACATGCTTTCACACACACACATATCTGTTAGTTGGGACCGGATGCAACTGCCATTTTTCTAGGTCAAGATAAATATCAGCAATTTCATATGGTTTGATCTAAGCAGCTATGCATATACATGTACAAATATACATTTGTTTATGCAGATGCACGGGCTTCCCTGGTGGCCCAGATGGTAAAGAATCTGCCTGCAACGCGGGAGACCTGGGTTCGATCCCTGGGTTGGGAAGATCCCCTCGAGCAGGGCATGGTAACCCACTGCAGTATGCTCGCCTGGAGAATCTCCATGGACAGAGGAGCTTGGCGGGCTGCAGTCCAAGGGTCGCCAAGAGTCGGGCGCGACTGAGCACAGCACACAGCACCACACCCATCCACACACATGACACGTACAAATACACACGCACGCGTGCACACACTCGAATGTGCAGAAAAAGTCACCGATGCCCTGCCTGGTCATGCTAGTCGAAAACTAATGCGGAACTCCCACTGCCTCCTCCACGCCCCCCAGTCTTCCCCTGCGCCCTGAGAGTAACCTGAATATCCATCCTTTCCGCTCACAGGAGAGTGAAGATTTGGAGAAGCAGAACGCGGCTCTGCGGAAGGAGATAAAGCAACTCACAGAAGAGATGAAGTACTTCACATCGGTGCTGAGCAGCCACGAGCCCCTGTGCTCCGTGCTGGTCCCCAGCACGCCCTCGCCCCCCGAGGTGGTGTACAGCCCCCACCCCTTCCACCAGCCTCACGTCAGCTCCCCGCGCTTCCAGCCCTGAGCTCTCCCGCAGGAGGGCGAGCAGAGAATAAATAGAGCCTCCATCTCCAGCTGCTCCCGGGGCCTCGGGAGGGGCGCACAGACTGTAGCCCGGCAGCCCTCCTCCCTCAGCGCCCTCTCTCCACCCAGAAAGCCGGAGGCTGAGGCCGGACCCCAGGATCGAGAACCCGGGGACGGGAACGCGAGGCAGCTGAAAGTGTGTGCGGCCACCTGCAGCGTGGCCGCCTGCCACCGGGGGCTGGGTGGCCTGGACCTTCAACTGGGTGGGAATGCCCGACCCAGAGCTAGGTTAAGCATGATGCCCAAGTCCGGTGACCCAGAGGGAGGAGGGTAGGGCAGGGCTATTTTTCTAAATAAATGTCTTAAAAGAAACCAATCTGGCAAGGGCTTGAAACCAAAAGTTTTGTGGGGTTAGGGTCATTTTTTTGGTCCTTGGGTTTAGGAGCCCTTAAAGGTCTGGAGACTCTGCTCATAGGGCTCTTTCCCATGGCTTGTTCATCTACTTGGGAAGCTGGGTTTTCTCAAAGTATCTTCAATTTTCCCTCTAGACATCTCCATCGTTTCCCTCCCCAAATCACCTTGCTGTGACTCCCACTTTCCATGCCTCATTGCATGATGCTTTCTAGGTTGTCAGCTCCAGACGGTTCTAGGGTCATTCTCTGCACGAGAGAAGAATTGGTGCCAGATGCGGTGGAGTGGGGTGGTCATTCAGGCTGGTGCTCACCTCTCACAGGACTGTGCTGACTCAGCCCCATCCAGATGGCCAGCCCTGGGGGCTGCTGCATGCCTGGCCCCACTCCAGGAGCACTCGTAACTCAAGGAGCCCCTCACATGAAGGCAAGGCTTTCCTCTCTGGTGGGGCGACCCATGGTTCAGAGACACAGGCACTAGTATCCTGCTGAGGACTCCGCCTCCCCTGGGAAGCTGGGATAAAGCACACACAGCTTTGTTGTCTAGGCAAGCCTCCACGGTCCGAGGGCAGCAGTGGCTTAGATCAGTTCCGTCGCTCAGTCATAGTCCAACTGTTTGCGGCCCCATGGACTGCAGCACGCCAGGCTTCCCTGTCCATCACCAACTCCCGGAGCTTGCTCAAACTCATGTCTATTGAGTCAGTGATGCCAGCCAACCATCTCATCCTCTGTCATCCCCTTCTCCTCCTGCCTTCAATCTTTCCCAGCATCAGGGTCTTTTCTAATGAGTTGGTTCTTCACATCAGGTGGCCAAACTATTAGCTTCAGCATCAGTCCTGTTATGTGGCTCAGATAACATAGGATTAGCTTCAGGGCTTCCAACCCACAAGTCTGGGCAGAGCTGAAACCAGCGTGCTCTGGTTTCCCTGCTCGTATGTCCACCTGCTCCTCAGAAATCCCCATGCCAAGCGCCCCTCTGGCCTTACCCACACCACTGCCCAAGAGCCATGGCAGAGCCTGTCCCCTTGTCTCCACAGACACACACATGGCCCCTGATGAGCCAGCTGGGGCCTGCAGTGCCAGGGACTGGCGTGGAAGGTGTCAGATGCAGCCCCTTGGCAGCCTCTGAAGCTCACCCGGTGGTCCTTCAGAGCCACTACCTGTGGCCCCCCCTGCTGGTGGCCATCTTGGGATTCGGCGAGCACAGGGGAATGGGAGGAACAAGCTTGCTCCCCTGTGCCAGCATCTCCTGGGCCTGCCCGCTGAAGGCAAGGTTTCAGGGACCTCCCCTGCCCAAGTCTCTCCTACCCCCTGGGATTATGCCAGTGCTGGACTAGTGTAACTACTAAACTCTGCAGAGGCCTGCAAGTGCTGCCTCCTAGCACATGGCCACCTGACCTCCTTGTGGCCTAACTATGGGAGGTGTGCAGCCCAAGGGCCTCTGAAGGCACATTGCCACCATCAAGCTCTCACCCCCGAAGTCGATTCCACACGGAAGCCCAGCATGTGGGAAGGGGGCTTGGAGCTTGTTGGAGACAGGCCGGAAGACCTCTCCCAAGGATCAGCATTGCTTGCAAAATCCTGCATTTTAACCTTTGGTGTCCCAACAGAACTTGGTCAATGAGACTTCCCTTCCAGTGCACGAACTTGGTGTAGCCTGGGATGAGGGGCTATGGCAAGAAGGAGCTCTCCCTCCATTTCCTTCAGGGCCTGGTTTCTGGTAGCTGATGCTCTGGGTAGCTCCTTCCCACACCTGTGTTAACAGGCAAAGCAAAGTCGCCAATGGCCACTTGAGATATGGCCTGCGTTGACTAGAATTCAATTTTTCTCTCTCAGTCTCAGGAAGCAGAACTTTCCAGCCAGCCCTTCCTGGACCAGACCTCTCTTGGGCCTCCCTCCAATCAGAGATGTTGTCCCCACCCCTGCTCTAGCTCTGATTTCCCCCGAGAAACCCCCTGCAGAAGGCACATGACCAGTGCCGGGCACCTTCAGAATGATACGCAGAGCCATAACCAGAAATGCAGGGCTCACGTGTGCCACTCCTGTCTCTCAGCAGGACTTCTCTTCCCCTTTCATTCGCTACTCTCCAATGAGCCTGGGAAGTTCCACTTCTCCTTTCTAATCAGTCTGACAGAGACCGCAAAAGGCTAGGCTGAGTGCCAAAGCTGACTTCATTGCCACACAGGGAAATTGGAGGTGCCCCTACAGAGAGGTCTGAACTTCCAGTGCCTTCACTTCGGATGTCCCACCATCCAGGCTCTGTCTCAGCCTCCTACCCATGACAGAGATAGTCCCTCAGGTGGGTGGACCAGTCACGCATAAATCCCTCCAGGGCCCAGGGAGGCACTGTAAATACATGAACCTCACTGGACACTGGACAATTGGGAGTGGCTGGGAATGTAGCAAACTGAACAATGAGCCCTTACCTACTGAAAGCAAACCGCTGCCCCTCGGTTCTATTCCACGCTGCCCTGGAATTCAGGACCAGTGTGGCCAGGGCTTCCAATTTTCCAAGAAAATCCCCAAATCAGAATCTCTACATGAATTCCCCCAGTTTTTAAAACCCTCTGCAGACCAAACAAAATGTGTGCGTGGAGGAGGTTTGCCTCTCATATCTGCAGGGCTTGCAGCAAGCGTACACACAGAGGCCACGCACCCTGTGGCTAAATACTCGTATCAAACATAAAATATGTTAACTGTGTTAGACGAAATATGCTCTTTTCTCTTGCCTTGATAAATAGACCTTTCTCACAACCTGGGAGGTGGAGTTTGAATATAAAGTCCTTCGATGCTTCAGAAATTTGTATTAGCACAAGGCAGCACAGGGACAAACAGTCCTGTGACTGCAACCTGTTCTCTTCTCGTCTCTCCTCCGGCTCCTCCACAGAGGCCTCATGTGGATGTCTCTGGATATAGCCAGCATACAAGACCGGTCCACCCACACCCCTCCTCCACAGAAGCCATCCCCGGGCCACTCCTTCAGGTCCAGGGGGGCACCTACCAGGGTCTGACCTACTCTGGTGAAGAGTTATCTGGGGAAGAAGCTTACAGCTGCTGGAAGACAGCTAGGGTCACTGACAGGGGATTCCAACGCGCTGGGAATATGGAGCATGGTCTGAAGGGACAGAGGGCTCTGGGTAGGCATGTCCCTTCTGTCCTCAGGACTCGGCCCCGTGAGAAGGGGTATAGCAGGCGGAGGGGAATTCCCATAATGTGGGGAGTCCAGAGCAGGGACCTCTTTTGCCCGGGTCTGAGGGTGGCCCTGCAGAGGTCTGCCAGAGTGTCTCTCTGATCTCAGTTAACCATGTCTCCGCGGAACGCCCAGCAAGGTGAATGTCTTATGCAGCAAGAAATGGGCACATCATTATCTGTCATTTTGACGGAGGGTTCCTGTTGGCCTCAGTGTTGGCCTCTTACTTGCGGCGTTCTTCCCTGAGACAGTGTCAAAACAAATTACAGGAAAGCCAGAATTTTGGTCTTTGGGCTGAGAAGCGTGGGTGGGGAGAGAGAGGGAGGTAAAGTCAGCTCAGAGGTCACGGGGTTGCCATCTGCTGGACCCAAACTTCCCAGCAGTGTTTATTCATACCTCCAGTCAATGTCCCAGCTGCAGCTGCAGCTTCGCATGCAGCTTCCCCAGGCGGCTGGGGACCCCATTTCTCTCTGGGACGGACAGGCCGGCCCTCTGTGCTGCCCTGGCCTCCTCCTTCTCCCTCATGGAGTCAGTGCTCCCGAGCGGCCCAGGAATTCCAAGGGGGAAAACGATGGCTACGTGAACTAAAACCAACACTAAGGTGGGACAGATGAAATCATCTTTGCCTCTGTCACAAGGGATTGGCGTTTTAAGAGGTACCCGAGGTTCCTGGCCCGAAGGAATGATGCTCAGTTGTGCATTTTAGACTTGGTGGCCAGTGTGTATGTAATGGAATCCTTGCCATGTGGATGACTGGCTACTATTGTATGTAGAAGGGGACTGGGGGCTGGAAAGGAATAGAGACATATTCCTCTTGTAAATCTTTTTTTTTTTTTAATTTTTGATGTGAACTCTTTTTAAAGTCTTTATTGAATGTGTTACTATGTTGCTTCTGTTCTGTGTTTTATTTTTTTGGCTGTGAGGCTGGTGGGACCTAAGCCCCCGACCAGGGATTGAACCCTCACCCTCTGCTTTGGAAGGCCAAGTCTTAACCAATGGGCTGCCAGAGAAGTCCCTTCCTCATGAAAATGTTGTTTCTCAACTGCTTGATATGTGATTTGAGTTAATCTACTTCCAGGAAGATGGAATAAAAAGTTGATCCTGGTTTAAAGAATCTACCAGCAGGCAGAGCTAAAAAGACCCCTCTTGAGAGGACAAATTTACAGACAAATTTCACTGGTGCTTAGGAGGTTTGTCTGGCTTCTTCTGGAGGATTCCTGATGAAAGACCAAGGTTAGGAACAGTGGCAGAGACTGATGATTGGCCTCTCAAGGCCATTCTCCCCTTTTACCTAACTGCAGCACCGTTTTGCCTAGGACAGCCTACCAACCTGCCCGGGCACTCTTGTCCACCTCTCGTCTCTTGGAAGCAAACCCTGGGAACTGGCCAGGCTGTTCACAG